TGCTGGAGGGGCAACCCCCCCCCCAACCTATACATAAATTCCTGCAACGGTGCGGATGTGGCCGCAGTCCCATAGCACATACAAAATCTAAACGCGGTGGGGGGAAAGCGAGTCTAGGAAGGAAGTGAACAGCCAGCGCTTGGTATTTAAAATGTCGCTGCCTAGATCTTGCCTCGGGCAAGAGATGATCAAAAGAAGCCACCATCTGCACCTGGGGCTATCTGAAGTCAGCTAATGGGTTTGGAGCCCAGCAAAGGCCTGCAATTCTTTTGTAGGGTGGCAGGGATTGTGGGTAAGAAAGAGCTTGCCTGGGCATGCTGCAGAAAAACCACAGCTAACCATCCGGAGAAATCAGGTCCCTAAGGGTGTCTCATTCATAAGAACTGAAGATCAAAGAACTCTCTCATGTAACTGCTCACAAGCTCTGTGTTGAGACAGAATTGGAAGCTGAACTCATTTACAGCCTGATGGCAAGAGCTGGCTTCTTGGCAGCCTCATCTTTGGCTTCCAGAAGGCAAGCTTCTAACCCTCATGGAGGTAGAAGAGGAAAAGCCTGAGCTGGATGGATTTTTTTCCAGGGAGGGGAGGGAAGAAAATGAAACACTGGCAGTGCGCTGCAACAGGCTATTTTTTCTCTCACACACAACTGAGAATACTGTCTGCACGTCACAACATTATGATGGAAGATTGGGAAAAATTATGGAAAACTCACTTAAAATTTACCGATTGTTCCCTATTGAAGGAGAATTACATGAAGATGATGTACACAACACCAGTGCAGTTAGGGGAAATGTACAAAACTAGTTCAAATATATGTTGGAAGTGTAAGTCTGATAGGAATTTATGGTCTTAGATATATGGTAATGTTCATAACCGCACATACATAGATCAACACAGGAAGACCAACCTGGAACCATTTTGATTCCTAAACTGACCAAATGTTTTCTCTGCAAGGTCAAAATGGAAAAGCCTCCCCATTGTCTCTTCCTTCACAAATCCTGTCTTAATCTGTGTTTGAATAAGGGTGTGAGCCTTATCATTACAAAAGACTACCCAGGCTCCCAAGAAATCCAATCAAGTAACCTGCCAGACAGGAAATAAACAAGCGACAGGAGAAAACAACATGCAAATGTTCTGTTTTAGACCGCCTTTTCTGAGGGGTGCTCTTAGGTTACACCCCTTCTGTGATGTATGTATAATGTTTCTGGGGGTGGTCTTGATCTACAGGATGGGAATTTCAAAAGTCTTTATAAGGCCTTGCACACCATTTTTCGGGGTTCCTCCTCCTCTCCTGCGTGTGAGGGGAGTATCCTGTTGCAACAGATCAATAAAGATCAGGCTTACTAGCTGCTTTGCTTCTCAATATTCTCTGGTTGGCCTCTGTTATTTTCTCCTACCAATAGGGAACCTATGTAAGGACTCTATATGGGCTCTTGGATACCCCATAAGGGAAAAGGGCATATTTTTATTTACAACATAAGGAAAAGGAGGGGACATTTTATCATATGTGGCGGAATTGTAAGGTAATTACAAAATTTTGGGAAATGATATACAACGAATTGAAGAAAATGTTCCATTTAACATTTGTTAAAAAACCCCGAGGCATTTTTAGTGGGGATTGTAGGGGAAGACCTGCCAAAAAAGTTGAAAAACATCTTCATGTATGCGACAACGGCCACGAGAGTTTTAATAGCACAAGGATGGAAGACTGAAGAAACCCCAACTAAAGAATCATGGCAAGAAAAATTGATGGACTACGCAGAACTGGCAAAACTGACATACAAGCTACGGGACAAGGATAACTGTGACTTGAAGGATGAATGGGACCCTTTACAAAGTATCTGAAGACGCAACAAAGTGAACTGGACTCCTTGGCAGGTTTTGAATAAACATTCACAAACTTTTTATTGATAATAATCAGCTAAATAGTTTGAGGATCTACAAAACTTTGTAACATGCAGAAAATAGCATTATTAGAGAAACCAAAGACTGGAACTGAGGGAAGTCGGGGGTGGGGGTGGGGGGTGGGGTTCTGTGTGGGAGGGGGGAGGGAGGAAAAATGGGGGGGTGAAATAAGGATGATATGTTTTTGGATAATATGTCTTGTTATAATTTTGTATAAAAATATTATTATTATTATTATTATTATTATTATTATTATTAAAGAGAATACTGTCTGCACGTTTTGTCTCATAGCTGAGGTTCTAGAAATGCTGGAAAGTTTCAAGAAAATTGGAGTAAATATTTGATGTACATAAGAAACAATTGTAAATCTTTGAAGACACTGGTAGGGCTGGAATAACTCTTACAGCGTGTAGCTGATAATATGATATATAAAGTATGTGATATTAGAACTTTATTTGATACTTACCAAAGAAATGGAGGGAAGTCAGAGGCATGATAGAGCCTAAGTTAAATATGTAACCTATATATGTGTAATTTATGAATGTATGTATGTTTACTGAAAATCAATAAAAATTTAATTTGCAGAAAAGAAAGAAATGCTGGAAAGTCACCTTTAAAAAAAAAAAACCAAAGTGGAGATTTGGGGGGGGGGTTCTGGTTCATCCAATGAGGGCAGCAGGGACTCAGCTAGGAAGAAAGGGGTGGGCAGTGAGATTCTGCTGGAAACAGTGACTCAGTTCTCGAAAAGAGAGGAGTCCCCATAAAGGCTTTTAACCCCAGTTGAAAACAAATGGAGCATGTCTTAAGTGCATATGAATAAGAGGTTGCCTCTGGGCATGCACAGACTGCATTTGTGCCTCACTCAAGTGCTTAGGACTGGAAGGAGGAGAGGTTTCAAATTATGCACACAGCCATAAGCCGCAGGACCCCTCTCTTTGAGAAACAGCCAGCGGCTTCCAGCTGAGCCTTGCTCCCCACCCCTCTTCTGAGCTGAGTCACGAGCCCATAAAATGTTTCATTTTGTTTGCTCAGAAGATTTAAGATGCAATAAATGGGGGATCATGAGATTTGTCAGTTACATAGTTGGTTAAAATCCTAGTTCCTGTCTGAGTTAAAGGGTGAGGGGCAGGGGAGAGAGTGAGGGTACAGAGGAGCTTTCCAGCATCCTTTTAAAAAAAATAATAATATTGCTTTTCATTGATGAAGCAATACAAAATTACTGCCGAAAAACCATTAGCAGAACACAAAAGAATGTAACCCACCATGATGAGATTTTAAATTAAATTTCAAACGTACTTAAATCATTGCACCTGTTTGGTTCGATTCCTGTGATCCCCAGTTTTGAAAAAAATAATAAAATGAATTAAAGATGAGAGAGACCGGAGTCTGCTTCAAACCTTGGAGAGACGCTGCCTGCCAGAGCTGACAATGCTGGACTAGATGGGGGGATGCTCTGAACTTCGGATATTCATTGAGATGCATTATGTTGGAGAGGAACTGTAGTTTGGTTGTAGAGCATCTTGCTTTGCATGCAGAAGGTCCCGGATTCCCTCCCCAGCATCTCCACGTAGAGATGGGAATGTCCGCTGTCTGATACCCTGGTAGAGGCAGATGGGGCTTTTCCACCTGGAGGCGGGCTGGTGTGGAGGACTCCCTGGTCCCGAATGGGGTAACCTGTCCATGGAGGTGCAGGTCAGTTCTGTGTCCAGGGCAGCTGTTTATCAGCTCCACCTGGTACGCAGGCTGAGACCCTACCTGCCCACAGACTGTCTCGCCAGAGTGGTGCATGCTCTGGTCATCTCCCGCTTGGACTACTGCAATGCGCTCTACGTGGGGCTAGCTTTGAAGGCAACCCAGAAACTACAACTAATCCAGAATGCGGCAGCTAGACTGGTGACTGGGAGCGGCTGCCGAGACCATATAACACCGGTCCTTCAAGACCTACACTGGCTCCCAGTAGGTTTCCAAGCACAATTCAAAGTGTTGGTGCTGACCTTTAAAGCCCTAAACGGCCTCGGCCCAGTATACCTGAAGGAGCGTCTCCATCCCTATTGTTTAGCCTGGACACTGAGGTCCAGCGCCGAGGGCCTTCTGGCAGTTCCCTCACTGTGAGAACCCAGGTTACAGGGAACCAGGCAGAGTAAACCCTGCACAAATCCAGAGTGGAGTCCCTAAGACAGTTACATGACGTCTTATATGCCCCTTTGTGGCAACCCCCTCAGCCAAGCTGGTGCCAAATATCTTGCTATGCTTACCACTGGGCCACATCTGTGAGGCATGCTTGGGTGCTGCTGTAGCAGGAACCCCCCACCCCAATCATTCAGTTTGTACAAACTTCACACACTCACACTCACACACTACATATGCCACACTTCTGTTATAAATTCATAGAAAAATCAACCATACATCGGATTTGCACTGTTCCATTTTTATTTTACTCCATATGACAAGGACTATCAAAGGGGGGTGGCTTGGTTCTGGTCAGCCATAATCCCTTCACCATCCCAGCACATCCACAGGAGCCCTGCCCAGTTGCTATGCCAACCCTGATGGTCCTAGACAGAAGACCATCAAGATCACAAAGAACTTGCATATGGGAGTGGATTCAGCATGGACTGAAACAAAGGACAATGATCAGATCTTCCCTCTGGGGGCAGGAAACTGCCAACTCCCTTTGTCTCCTGGAAGTGACTCATGGGCAGGGGAAAGGAGGAACCAGCCAGGTGACAGGACACTCAGGTTACCACCACAACTCCTCCCTCAACCCCTCCTTTCTGTAATGTATGCATGATGTCAACTCCTCCTTTCTGTAATGTATGCATGATGTTTCTGGGGGTGGGCTTGACCTAGAGGATGGGAATTTCAAAGTTTTTATAAGGTCTTGCACACCATCTTTCTGGGTCTTTCCTCTCTCCTGCAAGTGAGGGGAACTCCCTGTTGCAACAGTTCAATAAAGGCCAAGCCTACAGGCTGCTGTTTTGCTCCAAATTATCCTGGTTGGTGTCTTTGTTTTTGTCCAAGGGAGCCCTCGGATTTTTCCGGTAACACTGCTCACCCCCAACTTAGGGCTCCAGGGGTCAAGTACAATCCATCGAGCAGCACAATGGACCCGTGCATCTGGTTGTTAACCAGAAAGCTGGTGGTTCGAGGCCACCCAGCGACGGCTGTGGGTAGGACTCCTGCATTGCAGGGGGTTGGACTAGATGGCCCTCGTGGTCCCTTCCACCTCTACAATTCCATGACTTTAAATGGAGCCATGAAACAAACAGGTAAGCAAGAGCCCTCAGGTGAAAAGGTTAAAAAAAGAATGGGGTTACTTTAAAAACTACCTGACAAAATACAGTTCCAACAATAACACTCAGTTGTGCCTAGATATAAGGGAATTTTTATTAGAAGAGAAGAAGAAGAGTTTGGATTTGATATCCCGCCTTTCACTCCCTTTAAGGAGTCTCAAAGCGGCTAACATTCTCCTTTCCCTTCCTCCCCCACAACAAACACTCTGTGAGGTGAGTGGGGCTGAGAGACTTCAGAGAAGTGTGACTAGCCCAAGGTCACCCAGCAGCTGCATGTGGAGGAGCGGAGACTCAAACCCGGTTCCCCAGATTACGAGACTACCGCTCTTAACCACTACACCACACTGGCTCTATTATTATTTAAAAACAATAGAATACAGATTATTTAACTGTAATAATTGTGATGAAGCCACAAAGAGATAGAGGGAAGTCAATAAACATATAAGGGACACAAACAAAAGAAGAAGAAAAGAAATAAGAAGATAACTCCTCTGTAGGAATTTTGTGTATAGAATATTCAAATTAAGGTTTGTACTCCTTAAATAATGTTGTGTATTTGATAAATATCTTCTCTCTTTTTTTTTCTTTTCTTCTTTGTTATAATTTCAAAAATTTTCTTTTATGTATTTTTTATTTTTTTCTCTTAGTATATGTGGTTTAGGATTAATCTATTCCTTTTTTTCTGTAATTTTTTAAAAAATGAAATAAAGATCGAGGGGGCAGAAGCAATTAATCCTGAGGAAGAAGATCAGATCGTAGGGAAAAGCCGCTGGCCTGTCTGATGCTGCCCCCTGGTGGACATGCGAGATATGTGCAGCTCTGGTCTTGGGGGGAAAAAGGACCAGCCCATCCTATGCACCTCTATGAGATGGTACCTAAGAGGGAGCAAGGTGAGATGGACCCTTTTAAAGCAGAGGTGGGTGGGAACCCAGATGTTGTTGTACTCCAACTCCCATCATCCTCAGCCAATGGCCAGGGATGATGGGAGTTGTAGTCCAGCAGCATCTGAAGAATAGTAGTGGAGAATCTGTTTTGCATGCAAAAGGTCATAGAATCATAGAATAGAATCATAGAATCATAGAGTTGGAAGAGACCACAAGGGCCATCGAGTCCAACCCCCTGCCAAGCAGGAAACACCATCAGAGCACTCCTGACATATGGTTGTCAAGCCTCTGCTTAAAGACCTCCAAAGAAGGAGACTCCACCACACTCCTTGGCAGCAAATTCCACTGTCGAACAGCTCTTACTGTCAGGAAGTTCTTCCTAATGTTTAGGTGGAATCTTCTTTCTTGTAGTTTGGATCCATTGCTCCGTGTCCGCTTCTCTGGAGCAGCAGAAAACAGCCTTTCTCCCTCCTCTATGTGACATCCTTTCCAAGTTCAGTCCTTGCCATCTCCAGGTAGGACTCCCTGTCTGAAACCCTGGACAGCTGATGCTACCAGACAATGCAGGCAATACCAATGTGTCCAGGGCAGCTGTTTATCAGCTCCACCTGGTCCGCAGGCTGAGACCCTACCAGCCTGCAGACTGCCTCGCCAGAGTGGTGCATGCTCTAGTTATCTCCCGCTTGGACTACTGCAATGCGCTCTACATGGGGCTACCTTTGAAGGCGACCCGGAAACTACAACTAATCCAGAACACAACAGCTAGACTGGTGACTGGGAGCGGCCGCCGAGACCACGTAACACCGGTCCTGAAAGACCTACATTGGCTCCCAGTACGTTTCCGAGCACAATTCAAAGTGTTGGTACTGACCTTTAAAGCCCTAAACGGCCTCGGCCCAGTATAGCTGAAGGAGCGTCTCCACTCCCATCATTCTGCCCAGACACCGAGGTCCAGTGCTGAGGGCCTTCTGGCGGTTCCCTCACTGCAAAAAGCCAAGTTACAGGGAACCAGGCAGAGGGCCTTCTCGGTAGTGGCGCCCTCCCTGTGGAACACCCTCCCACCAGATGTCAAAGAGAAAAACAACTACCAGACTTTTAGAAGACATCTGAAGGCAGCCTTGTTTAGGGAAGTTTTTAATGTTTAATAGGTTATTGTATTTTAATATTCTGTTGGAAGCCGCCCAGAGTGGCTGGGGAAACCGAGCCAGATGGGCGGGGTATAAATAAATGAATAATAATAATAATACAGTGGTGCCCCGCAAGACGAATGCCTCGCAAGACGAAAAACTCGCTAGATGAAAGGGTTTTTCGGTTTTGCGTTGCTAGGCAATTCCTATGGGCTTGCTGCAAGATGAAACGTCTTGTGCTTTTTTCTTAAAGCCGCTTGAAGAGGCGCAGTTGCGACGGACCATGCTTCGCAAGACGAAAAACATCGCAAGACGAAAAGACTCGCGGAACGAATTATTTTCGTCTTGCGAGGCACCACTGTATAGATGGACCCAAGGGTCTGGCTCAGTAGAAAGTGGCTTCCTGTGTTTCTGTTCAAACCATTCCTTTTCTCAGAAACATGAGGTCTGGAATCTTATTGGATTTATAGCAGATGGACTATAGCTCAGTGGTAGAGCTGTTAGGCTACCTCTATCCCTTTCATAGAGCTATAGTTCCCAGTGTGGTTTAACTATCTATCCCTCTTCACAGGGGTTTCTGGGATCCTAACATATGGTTACCAGACGTCCCCGTTTCCTGGGGACAGTCCCTGGATTTACATATCCATCCCCAGACAAAATCCGTCCCCGGAATGTCCCCGGATTTCATTTAATGTCCCCGGATTTATATTTTAAGTGTTGTAGATTTATTAGTAGGGAATGAATGTTGTGTGATTGGTTCAAGGGCACAAGACACATCATATGGGGACTTCTGGTCAGGCAAAATGGCGGGCACCACGGCAGCAAGCAGCTCCTGAAGCCAGCCAGAGCCAACTGCGCTACCAGGCTGGCTCCAGGCTGCTGAGACTGCCGCTGCCACTGCCAAAGGGGAACCAGGGACGCCCAGCGTGTCAACTGTGGAAACCACTGAACACCCCTCCTCCCCCGGCGACCCAAATCGAGCCGGGAGCGAGATTGCCTGGCCACCCAGCCGACTGCCTAGCAGCACTCCGGGGCCAGTAAAAACCTGGCAAACTATGGCCCGGGGGCCGTATCCGGTCCAATCACCTTCTAAATCCGTCCCACAGACAGTCCGGGAATCAGCGTGTTTTTACATGAGTAGAATGTGTGCTTTCATTTAAAATGCATCTCTGGGTTATTTGTGGGGCGTAGGAATTCATTCATTTATTTATTTTTTTCAAAATATAATCCAGCCCCTCCAAGGTCTGAGGGACAGTGGACCGGCCCCCTGCTGAAAAAGTTTGCTGACCCCTGGTCTAAACCACCATGAGTTGCCGGTGAAGGTGGAAGTATCTGTAACTTTGCATGCAAACAGATGAGTTTGAAGAACAGGGCTCTGGCAATAGCTCCGTCCGTCAGATATATTAACAAGCGTCTTGCCAATTTCAGTCCCGGGGAATGAGTGCCGGCGCTATTAATGCTTGGCAGCACCAAGAGGATATTAAAGTTGTTGTTTCTTTTGTGGCAGTTCCTTGTTTAATGAAACAGATAGTGTCTGGGGTGGCTCCCGGCTCCGTGTTGCTCGCTTCGTATTGACGGGCGCTGGAGAGCAGCCCTGGGTTCCCATAAATCAGGAGACTTGTAAGCTGGCCTTAATTACTTGGTTCCCTGCACGAAGTAGCATTGTATGCCATCCGTGGATGAAATACAGCCTCATAAAGGCCCCCGTACAGATAATTTCAGAGAGATGCACAACTCAGCCAGGAAGAGCCTCTTGGGAACGGTAAGGAAATTAATATCCCACCCCAGGCGTGTTTGCTCAGTGATGATCAGTGATCAAAAGGAGGAGAGCCACTTCCGACAGGTGGTTTTACAGGCGCATGTAGCATAGACAACACAATACATTCGCATCTTGCATGAGGGGGGTTACATTCCAGGGATACTGTGTTAACAGAAAAATCTGAGGGCTCCCTTGGACAAAAACAAACAAAGACACCAACCAGGATAACTTGGAGCAAAACAGCAGCCTGTAGGCTTGGCCTTTATTGGATACTGTCGCGACAGGACTCCCACCTGCAACAAGATGAAGCAAAATGGAAGTCCAGAACAAAAGAAGACCCCAACTTTTATTAGTTACTAATCCCCCAAACTACACCCCTAAGACTACATCACAAAAAGGAGGAGTTGAGGGAGGAGTTGTGGAGGTAACCTGAGTATCTTGCCACTGGTTCCTCCTTTCCCCACTCCCCATGAGTACTTTCCAGGTGACAAAGGGGAATTGGCAGTTTCCTGCCCCCAGAGGGAAGATCTGATCATTGTCCTTTGTTCCAGTCCATGTTTAATCCACTCCCATATGCAAGTCCTTTGTGACCTGGATGGTTTTCTGTCTGGGACCATCAAGGTTGTCATGCCAACTGGGTAGGGCTCCTGTGTATGTGATGCAATGGTTAAGGGAATATGGCCATCCTGTATCAAACCACCCCCCTTTGATAGTCCTTCCTTCATGGAGTAAAATAAAAGTGGACCAGTGTAAATCCGATGTATGGTTGATTTACTATGAATATATAACAGAAACGTCGCATATGTCGTGTGTGTGTGTGTGTGGTGTTTGTACAAACTGAATGATGGGGGGGGCGGTTCCTGCAACACTGCGCATACGCGAACATTCGTATACCTGAACCACACCTTGGAACTGCCACCACCAGGGGTGCCAACTTGAAGAAAATATTGTGGAGGCCCGGGTAAGCCCCGCCCCACAAATTGATCACATGATGTAGTGCACACACATCATTTGGGTGACGATGCCCATCAACTTGGGGCCCCCCGCCCCCCTCAATTATTTTATTGCAGGGGCCGGAAACCCCTCCCCCCCATGGCACC